ACCCAAATCGGTATCCACGCAGAAGTACCAGAAGGGCCACAACAAGGATCGAAAAGAGTATGAAAGTATTGGTAATATATAGCACTGGAAGTGCTGTTCAAATATTGAGTAGCTTTACTTAGCTGTAATAGAATCATTCAGTCAAAGAAAATACACTCCCGATCATAAGTTTAAGGACACCCCCAAAAAAACATGACAAATTCGTTATGTTGATATCTCTGTCATGTTACGTCAAATTTTCGTTTTCTTTAGATCATTTGAAAGGTATTGAATGTAACTTTCCTCGTAGGCAAATTGTTAAATATAATTTTCGAATTTTGTGTGCTAAAAGTTCACCCAAAGTTACAATATTTTTCAAAATTTACTCTTAAGAATCGTGACTAATTTTCTCAGAATAGGGTTGGCCAAATTTTGAAATAAAAATAGTAGTAGAACACTTATGCTATGCCATTAATACCATTCAAATAACCTTTGGAGATCGAAAATTGAACGTAAAATGAGAGATTATTGAACAAAACATAGATCCACACGGCCTGAGAGCACGATGTAGACTGAGTTAGAAGAGCTTTGAAAAAGATCTGATTTGCTTTAAATTCATTCAAAGATCTTCCTTAAAAGCTTTAAAGCTTGTCCGCATACTTCTGAAGCCTTCTAACCGTACAGTAGAAGTGCACTGGATTTAGCGTAGATGTCTCACAACCCTTCACATTTACAAGTAGTCTTCTTTTTTTCTGCCATCGCTGACCGGAACACTATCAAATGTACAATTCGATCACGTCCTTGCTCATTACGATAACAATAATCAACCACTTCATTTACAGGACGTGATCAACTGTGAGCCAATTTTCTTATTACTTCGGGTGCATATTCTATCCAATTGACAACCAACCGGAAATCGTTTACTTTAACACTAACCCTTAGCATTACGCACTTTCCTCCAGGAATAGCCTTTCTAATCACTTCTCCGAACCAGCCCACACATTCGCAGCCCATAATTAGCCATTAACTTCGCAGTTAATCGGCTGCAATTTGGCCCTCCCCCGCAATCCCGCATACGAACTGTGCTGTGCTTACACATTACAACAGCAATTAAAGTTAGTAGCAATTCAATGTAACAGTAACAGGAAAGTAATTACCACCACCCAATTTCCGGGTGCGGTGACGACCTCTATTTCGCCTGCGAGGCTACAATTATGCTAATTCCTCACATGATTACCACGCACACACGTCGTCATCGTCGTCGTCGAAGGTAATAGATTGTGGCGTTAGACAATTTCCTTCTTGCTACCGAAAACCTCCTGCCCGAAAACTTTTAATTAAAACTCCCGAAAATTGTTCCCCAACCGTACGCCAACCGAAGTTAATCCTTTTATAAACACCAAAGTGAGCGTAATTCGTCTTGTTCTAGCCCGGAAAGATCAAAGAGCCGGATCACCGCTCACCCCCCGTGTGTCAAAAGGGTTAAGGAAACATTCTTGCCGAACGTTATCTTTATCCTTTGTGATCGGGAAGCCACATGTGTAATTAATTTTATTAAAAATCTTGTCCTTTTCTGCGTCGCTCACGACCGACGTTCGTCGGCAGACAAAAGAAAAGCCGCTATTGACACATTAATTATAGATGATTAAATGACGTGTGCGAGCGCATGTAGGTGACACTTTTGTCCTTTCCGGTGTGCACTCACTTTCTGGTGGAAGGTGGGGAGGGAAAAGTTTGTCCTTGTAAAACCCAGCTTCGGGCGAGGAAACTATTTTTCCCCGATTGGAGTGAGGCGAACGGCGAAGAAAGCAATAAATTTCATTCAGCTTACTGCTCAGACAACCATCGGCAGCGGCGTGGGTGGCAACCGACCTCCAAAGGAGCAAAGGATACACGACACAGCCAAGGATGATGGAGAGATCATAGCCGTTCGCTGTTTGTCGATAAGAGATGTGTGAAGTGATTTCTTAGCTTCCCCATTCCAGCGCCGTGATTTCTTATTCACGATGGAAAGTGGAAAAGCTCTTTCCACTCGCTGAAGGGTGTCGGTTGATTAAATTGAATGGGAATATTTGAGTTATTGAGTGTTGGGTAGGTTCGGCGAGTGGTGGGGTGGGATGGAATTTTGATGGATGGAAACTGGGGCAACAGTTTTTTAAGCGATTCGGGAAGTTGTTAAATAGGAATTGGGATGGACAACGTGCGACACTTGCGTCCACATAGCACAGTATAATCTTCGTAAATCGTTTCCAATTTCCATTTCAATTACCGTGCACTATCGATAAACGATTGTGCAACACAATTTCACCTCGATTGCCATCGACTGCAGCAACAATCTTCCGATCCATTCCATTATTGAACTCATTCCATTGTGTCCCGAAAAGTGTCTGCCGATGCCGGCAGTGCCTTCCAACAAAACCAAGCTCATTTGCCTGCCAGTCAAGGAAAGCCTAGTCTACTGAAAGTGGCCAACCTCTTCTTCCTGATGCACACAATGCACCGGCCGTTCCATTTTCACACCTTTCAAATCCCATCTCACAAGCCTGGGCTCAGAAAATCTGCAATTTCGAAACGAGAAACCTGCCCGACTAGAGCTACCATAGTCATCCAAGTGGAAAATATTATAAATGCGGAAAAGATTAGATGTGTCGTCTAATATCCCTCTCCTTCCCCCATAGCTGAGCTCGTTCACCGATGGCTCAGCCTCAGCAATGGGAGAGTGAAGGATTTCGTCCGATTTAATTTTAATACATCCTCACCTAGCAGCAGTGGGCAGTGTCCTGCCGAGACCGAGAGGTTGACAATGATTGTGTTTGAGTTTCGAAGCAAATCTCCTTCGGACCGTTGCTGTTGAGATTGCTGCTCACAACAATGGACCGGGAACAATAACCGAAGTCGGCCCATTAGGTTATCCCTGGTTTTATTGGAAAATGAAATGAAGCGAAAGCCAGCCGGAACACGAGTAAGGCTCCGCCGCACCTTCCCATCCCACCTAATGTTTGTTCGAACCTTCAACGGCTCTTCAGGTTGTGGTCAAGTGTAACGAATGCAACTGATGGACGGACAGATTCTCCTGCACCACGGTCTTCGGCTGGGATAAGTTTTATGATAATTAAGGCAAACAAACAGGGAGCTGGGATTGACATCGGAGGGACACTATCAGTTGAAACTATGCGTTGCAGGGACAGAAGCTGCCTTGCCAGGCAGGCTGTTGCATTGCGTTCCTGCTGATGGAGAGTACATAATCCTATGTTTGATTAAGTTTGAGAGACAAATATTAATCTGGATTACGACGTGTTCCGGTAATGACGATCCGATGGACTGACGGCATGTGTTGTTGCGAATTTGGTGCAAGGTTATTCGACAAGAAAAAGCTTGTGGTTACGAGGGTGGGTCTCAGCGTTGGTATAAAACAACTGAGACTGTTTGGATTTTTATCTTAGTCTTTGTATTCTTCACCTTGGCGAGCAATAACACTAAAATGATAACAGGCGAAAAGATACAGTTGGATCGCAATAGCCGGAATGTTGATTAGTTCTGAAACGAGAAAGTCCATAGGCTTCATGCGTCCCCGGTAGGGTCCAGGTGTGGGAGCTGCCTTCCTGGCACGTCGGTAGCATTGGTGGTCAGCACGGAAAACAAGATCGACGGAAAAAAACAAACCAAAGAAAAAAAAATGCGTCCGAAATTATATTTTTGAATTTTTCTTGAGGTAGTTTAAGGAATGGAACATTTTAAACACCGGTTAATGAAGTAGCGGCAGTATATATATGAGAGTTCTTCGAAATCATCAAATATATCGGGTGAGATCTTTCCTTTCCTTTCCATCATCATCATCATCATCATCATCATCATCATCATCATCATCATCATCATCATCATCATCATCATCATCATCATCATCATCATCATCATCATCATCATCATCATCATCATCATCATCATCATCATCATCATCATCATCATCATCATCATCATCATCATCATCATCATCATCATCATCATCATCATCATCATCATCATCATCATCATCATCATCATCATCATCATCATCATCATCATCATCATCATCATCATCATCATCATCATCATCATCATCATCATCATCATCATCATCATCATCATCATCATCATCATCATCATCATCATCATCATCATCATCATCATCATCATCATCATCATCATCATCATCATCATCATCATCATCATCATCATCATCATCATCATCATCATCATCATCATTCGAGTTCGGGACATTGTTGCTATCAGTAGCAAACGTGCGCGCGCTCGGGATACGTTGTATTTGGTGGTTTTTCGCGGTTTTTTCGTTCCAAAAACGCGATAAGCAACAAGTGGATAGTGATTACTAGTGTCTAACACTAAAGTCCGATCATAATCGGCGAAGATTTCAGTGAAATAAGTGCGACTAAAGTGCCTCTGCCAGCAGCAAAAATGACAACAACGGCGCGCCATCGCATCGTTCTACCGGTGTGTAGTGTGGCCCATTGTGGTTTCGCTGCTGTGTGACCCGAGTAGCAAGAGGTGTTCAAGTGCGAACAAACCGATTTTTTTCGGTTTTTGGTGAAAAGTTTTTTCACAGAATCGGAAGGTCGGAAAAATTATTTTTTGACCTTGTGTGTTGTGGTATAGCCGTTGAAGGGGATAATAAGGTAGGAAAAACCCTTCTTTTTCTATTTTTATTATCTTTGGGGTAGGCAACGGGTGACCGTTGTCTTTTTTCATTGATTTTTTCCAACGTGCAACTGGTTGCGGTAGTAGTGGTAGATTAAAGGAGTGTGGCCATGACGGCCGCAAGTAGCGGCGACCCTGGCGGGTCTGGGAGAAGACTGCCAACGTTCATGGATCCTACGAACAAGTTCGGAGAATTAACGTATCTGCAACTGATCGGAAAGGACAATGCGCCACTGCCGAAAAATCCTTTTTTAATCGGCAAATCAGTTGAAAAAGTCGCAGGTGCCTATCGAAGGTGCGTCAACTGAAGCGCAAGGTACCAGGTACACCCTAAAAGTTCGTAACCCTTCCCAGGTTGAAAAATTGTTGAAGATGACAGCATTGATCGATAACACTGAGGTTTTGGTCCAGCCACATCCAAACCTGAACGTTAGTCGCTGCGTCATTTCCTGTTTCGAGTTGATTGACATGGAGGAAAAAGATGTACTGCTGGAACTTATCAGGCAGGGGGTGATTCGTGTTCAACGAATTACGCGTAATGATAACGGTAGCCGTGTCAACACGTCCACTTTAATTCTTACTGTTGCTAAATGTAATTATCCCGACAATTTTAAGATTGGTCTTTTGAGTGTTGCTACCCGGCCTTACTACCCAAACCCGCTGCTATGTTATGGTTGTTTCCGTTATGGTCATCCACGTGTCCGTTGTCCTGGTCCACAACGTTGTCTGCATTGTTCCGCCGAGCGCCATGTTGAAGAGAATGAGGAATGTGGAGAAGCTGCCCACTGCATTAACTGTGGAGGACCGCATCGTCCGAACAATCGCCAGTGCCCCGTTTACAAAAAGGAGACGGATGTTATCCGTATCAAGGTCGATCGCAATCTCACGTACCCGGAAGCACGCAAGCAGGTTGAAGCAGGAGTGAGAAGCTACGCAGCAGCAGCAGCCCAGCCAAGTGTCGATCGTCAAAAGCTCGAACAACTCGAGAAAGAGATGAAGAAGAAAGACGCCCAGATTGCCAATCTGTTGGAAGCAATGAAGCGAAAGGACGAGAAGATCGACAAGCTGATATCCCATATCAAGAACATGTGCCATGCAGAAAGCCAACCAGCTCAACAACCACAACAGCAGCAGCAACAACAGCAGCAACAACAGCAACAACAACAGCAACAACAACAGCAGCAGCAAGTCAGAGAGTCGCGAGCAGCGGGACCATCCATGCATCTAAGGACCCGCTCACCTGCAGTTGTAGAACCGAAACAAAGTCAACCTGGGAAGAAGAAAAAACGCAACAAGTCGAACAATACATCACCCGGTCGCCAAAGTCCTCCTTTGAAGAAAGTAATCGCCGAACAAAACCCACCGCACGATTCCGAAGCTGTAAGTATCGACGAGGAGTCTGAAATCGACGAAACGCCCCCTAGCCAGCAAAATCGACGACATCAACTCCTCTAATTACACAATGAGCAGCATTAATGACCAAGCAACGAACACGGACAACGATTTGGACCATCGATTTGGAAGCAGGGAATGTGTAGTACCTCTTCCACTCTCACAAGCGAGAGCGCAGCAGGTGGGAGGATCTGTCCGGGACGTCTTACCCCAACCCGTTGATAGAGACTCCCCCTCTGCGATCGATGTTAATGTAACGGATTTTTCAAACACCTACCTACATACCAACCAACCACAACCACAAGTATGCATATCGCCACGTCACGAAGCTCTTTCCAATTCGGGAACAGCAACAGCGCACACTAGCAATCACAACAGCGTTCTCAACAACATTCCTAGTAGCCGGATTGGGTCTGCTCGGGGGGAAGAAAGTGCTCCCTGCTTTTTGGAAAGTCAGTCCATGCAGTTTTTCTCCCGACATTCCACCGGTGAAGTTCGTCCAAATCAGCAGCATTATTTTTCTTCTTATCGCACAATCGATCCTAGTAACCGGCATTCCGCCGGTGAAGTCCATCGAGTTGCATCGACACCGTCATCATCACTGCGACAGCCAGTACCGCAAAATCGGTGTGGGGAGGGAGAGCGTGAAGTAACCTCCCCCCTCCCTAGGACGGGAGCGGATGTCCAGGGGGCAGTGGGTGGGACCAGTCACGAGTGTCTTGCACCTTCTATCTCCTCCTGGAATCCGGCCGATATTTCTTCACGAGTGCACAGTTCGTTGTCAACGTCATCACTATCATCAGCGGATAGTCGCCCTGGCGGTTGTTTCGCCCTGCAATGGAACCTACGAGGACTACGGGCCAACATTAACGAGCTAAAACTCCTCATCGCCGACCATGAACCGTCCATTGTAGCACTTCAGGAGACGAAGGTCAGCCAAAGTGTGTTACAACCACACTTCGTTGGAAGGAACTACACGCTCCTCTTAGAGTCGAACAGCGTACACCACTGGCAACACGGGGTAGGCCTTGCTATCCGGCAAGGTATACCTTTCGAGCGCGTGCACATCGATACCTCTTTACAGCTCGTAGCTGCACGCATCTACGCACCGATGCAGATAACAGTAGTATCCGTCTATATTCCACCGAGTGCAATCCAAGGCAGTCAGGCCGCACTGAATGAGTTGTTCGAGCAACTGAACGGTCCGGTTATATTTCTGGGTGACTTCAACGCACACCATCTCGCTTGGGGGTCACAAACATCAACCGCTCTCGGCAGATTCATTGCCGAAAAAACCCTGGACAAACAACTTGTTATTCTCAACAACGGCTCCGCTACTCGTATCGATCCGGCTACAGGTAACACTTCGGCAATCGACCTGACGTTCTGCTCCGAGTATCTGGCACGTAGGTTTACTTGGCAAACCCTTTCGGACACTTTCAACAGCGACCACTTTCCGATAACGGTATCCATTCCCGGGTGGTCGTATTCGCGAACGACGCGACGAAAATGGCTCTACGAACAAGCCGACTGGTCGTTATACGAAAGCATCACAGCCGAAAGTATTCGATCAAGTGTCGAGTGGGACGTCAACAGTTTCACCGAAATGATCATCAACGCAGCAACTAAGTCCATACCACGAACCAGTGGTCGTGTTGGACCAAAAGCGGTACCATGGTGGTGCCCCGAAGTAAAGGCGGCTATTCGACGGCGAAGAAAATGTTTACGATCCCTGCGACGTCTACAACATTCTGACCCAAACCAACACGAAGCATTGGCTAGATTCCAGGAAGCCAGAGCAGCGGCACGACAGGCTATCAACCAGGCCAAAACGAATTCGTGGGATAAATTCGTAGCGAAAATCTCACCAACTAGCTCGACCACCGATTTGTGGAGAACGGTCAACACTCTGCGAGGCAATCGACAACAACGGACCGTAATGCTCAAGCGAGCAGATGGATTCACGGACAAGCCCGAAGAAGTAGCGGAGGAATTAGCGAAATGCTATAGTGGAAGATCAGCAACCTCTAGCTACTCTTCATCTTTCCAGATGGTTAAGACAGCAGCCGAACAAGAATCCATGGATCAAACACCGACACCGACCGATGATGTCTACAACATCGATATCACCCTTAACGAACTCCTGTGGGCCCTCGACAAAGGGCGAGGTGCTTCGACTGGTCCCGACTTAATTGGGTATCCGTTACTCCAACGTTTGCCACTGTCCGTGAAAATGACGCTTCTTGAGCTTCTTAACAGAATCTGGGACGAGGGTGTGTTTCCCATTAGCTGGCGGAATGCTGTTGTCGTACCCATTCCAAAACCACACTGCAACGACTCCGGACCTGATGCCTTCCGTCCAATATCGCTCACCAGTTGCATGGCGAAGCTGTTCGAGCGGATTCTCAATCGTCGATTGACCACCGAACTAGAATTGAGTGGACGTCTTGACAAACGTCAGCACGCCTTTCGTACAGGCCGCGGCACTGATACTTATTTTGCCGAGTTGGAAAGATCGCTGCCAACCCAAGATGAACACTGCCTGATAGCCTCCTTGGACCTGTCGAAAGCATACGATACCACCTGGCGACACGGTGTTCTGCGGACACTAAAATCATGGCGATTACGTGGGCGGATGATGAACATGCTGCAAAGCTTCCTATCGGAAAGGACATTCCAGGTGTCCGTAGGAGGGCATATGTCTCGCAAACACCAGCTGGAAAATGGAGTACCACAGGGTTCTGTCCTATCAGTGACTCTATTTCTCGTTGCGATGCAGCCTATCTTTCGGGTGATACCGAGAGGAGTCGACACTCTTCTGTACGCGGACGACATTCTCCTCGTCGTACGAGGGGCAAAAAGTGAAGGACTACATCGCAAACTACAAGCCGCCGTCAAAGCTGTCGATAAGTGGACGAAAAGCGTTGGATTCAGCATATCAGCAACAAAGTCCTACATCTTTTATTGCAGTCCGAATGCACGTCGAGAACCTGGAAGTAACATCGTGATAGACCGAGTATCCATCCCGAAGACAAACCGTTTGAGAGTCCTGGGTGTAACCCTAGACCGAACTCTGAGCTTCAAACCTCACTGTCAAATGGTGAAGAAAGCGTGCGAACCTCGGTTACGAATCCTTCAGATGATCGGTGCCAAACTTCCGCGTGGCGATCGAAAATCGCTACTGCAGGTGGGATCGGCCCTAGTGACCGCGAAACTGATGTACGGTATTGGAATAGTTAGCCGAGGAGGACCAGTAACGCTACAGAGTCTCGCTCCAGCCTACCATAAAATGGTACGGTTTGCTTCCGGAGCCTTCGTCACTAGCCCGATACAATCGATCATGGCTGAAGCGGGCACCTTACCGTTTGAACTGCTAGCAGCACAATCCATCGCGCGAATTGCAATTCGGATACTAGCAAAGAATCAGAACAACAACAGCCTCCCTCTCATTCGACGAGCATCGGATCGCCTCAATGAGCTGACAAACTCAGCGCTCCCCGCTGTCGGTCAACTTGTACGGCAGACCGATCGTCCGTGGCACACACGAAAACCTTCGATCCTGTGGGACGTTAAAAAATGTGTACGAGCCGGCGATCCTCCAGAGAAAGTCCGCCCGGTAGTGCAACAACTACTGTCGACCCGCTTCCACCGATCAACCGTCATCTACACCGATGGATCCAAACACGACAACACTGTAGGTGCCGCATTCCATAACAATGGTTTAGCGGGAAAGTACAGCCTCCCAAAAGAATGTAGCGTTTTTTCTGCGGAGGCGTACGCCATTAAGATGGCTGTTTCCATCCCGAACATTTCGAATGAATTAGTCATTCTTACGGATTCTGCAAGTTGTCTCCAGGCCTTAGAAGCTGGAACATCTAAGCACCCGTGGATTCAGGAAGTGGAGCAAATATCACGAAACAAATCCGTCCGTTTCTGCTGGATACCTGGACACGCCGGCATCCACGGAAACAACGAAGCTGATCGGTTGGCAAATATGGCGAGAACACAACCTCCCATTGATGTACCAATCCCAGGCGACGATACGCTGAGAATGGTGATGCAAAACATTCGACAACGATGGAACGACCGATGGTTCGCGTCCAGAGACTTTAAACTGAGAGAAGTCAAAGACGACACGCACAAGTGGACGGAACGGGGAAGCACTTTCGACCAGCGTGTGCTAACACGACTAAGAATTGGTCACACGCGGCTAACCCATACGTTCTTACTGAAGAAAGAAGCCCCGCCCAATTGTTGTGGAACGGCTTTAGACGTGCGACACGTGATTTTGCACTGCAAAAACTATGAAAGGCAACGACAAGAGAACAACATTGATACAACAAGCTTACGAGATGCGCTAGGAAACTCTGAGGAGCAAACCACAAATATGCTGAATTTTCTACGCCAAACTGGACTTTACCGAAAAATTTGAAGAATACAGAGAAAAGAAGAAGGAACAGCCGAAATCCGGTGTAATGGCAATGAAGATAACGGAGCAAACAAGGAAGGAAGAATGTGAAGAAGATGGAACAGCCGAAGCCCAGTGTAGCGGCAAGAAGGTGAAGCTGTTAACGAAGCAAGGAAGGAAGGAAGAATGTGAAGAAGATGGAGCAGTCGAAACCTGGTGTAGAAGCAAGACGGTGAAACAGTTAACTGAGCAAGGAAGGAATGAAAAATGTGATGAAGGCAAACATGTAGCTGGATGAAGATCAAGTAAAGAAGGTGAAGGTCATCAAGAATACAAAGCGGATAGCGGATGGAAGAAGAAGATCAAAAGAAAAATTATGATGAAGTAAAGGCGGAACGCAAAATTAAGTGCAAAAAGACGAAGAAGATCAAGAAGATAAAGCGGAAAATAGCAAAATGAAGAAGACGACACCGATGGAAATCCGGAGAAATCATGAAGACGCGGAAAAGGAAATCAAAGCAATGGAATTAAAGAAGGATGAAGAAAGAAGATGATGAAGAAGTAAAGAAAATTATTTGAAGTATGGTGAGATGAAAGAAGAAGATAGTGAATGAAGAAGAATACCATTTAGCAACAAATGATTAGAAGTGAAGAAAATATAAGAAGATGACGCAGCCAATTCAGCAAGATGAAGGAGACCCGTCAACAAAATATCAAGATGGCGGATAACAAGAAACGGACGAAGGCTACGAACAAAAACGAAGATGATGAAGAAAGAAGATGAAGAAAAGA